TGTTTTTTTTTTTTTTTTGGGGGGGGGGGATGGGGGGGGGGGGGGGGGGGGGGGGGGGGGGGGTCTGCAGATGCGAATCTGACCCCCCCTGATGTGGGGTACAGACCTGCTGTAAAAAAATGTTGGTATTTTAGAAGGTGAATGGTGCCTTTGGTATAGTATAGAACTATGATTCAGCTGGTCAATTTCTAATTTCAAGAGGGGATTATTAGTTTTCAGAAATCGAAGGTGGATCAGGACCCCCCTCCCCCCCCCCCCTTAATCTGCCACTGTATGGCTAAACAGGATATGAAATATCAGATGACGTTTTTTCACTTTCACTCCAATTGAACTTAGACTGGCCTACACAGCCCTTTTATATATATATATATATATATATATATATATATATATATATATATATATATATATATATATATATATATAATGTGTGTAATTCCCCAAACCCCACTCCCCCACAGTAAGAGGATAAAGCATCCTTTTAAATATTGTCCATGAGGCATGCATTGCTTCCTACAAAGAACCATCATGTTACATGTGGTGTTAAAGAGACACTTTACAGGGTTTTTGTGTGCACATTGTACAATTAAGAAATATAGTTTTCTGGCTTCTACAATAATATTTAAGTAATCATTATTTTTCCAACCATAAACGCCATTTATTTCAGAATTCTAAAATGCCTTAAGTTCCTTCTTAAGTGGCATGCATAATTGTTCCTTGGATGGCTTAAGCAAAGTGAAGTGTTACCAAGTAGACACTATTCAAATTTTGAGCAGGGTTGTAATGTTGTTACTTCTGGATGCAATGCACCCTATGACAACAAGTGTAATTAGGTTCACTGAAGAGAAAATTAGTATCTTTTAAGAAATTGACAATCACATAATTAGTCCCTTTAAAAACAAGTGTTTTTTCTTAACAGTAACTTCCTTGCATATACATGTACTGTGTACATCAAAACCATTTCAGATATCATCAATCATTTACAACATGAACAGTATAGTAAGAAATGACTAAATCTGCTTTTTTTTTTCTTTTTTTTTAGACATTACTATTTAAACCCAAGGTCTATAAAAACAGTGTATTGAGCCAGTGCTGTGTACAGTGTTAACCAAGCAAGAAAACACAGTTCCCTCAGCTCATGGTGAGTATATATATGTATTCATATCACAGACATCTACTGATGCATTGAACAACTAGAACATGTACAGCTTGGTCACTGGGGGGCAAACAATAAATGTGAATACACATACTACAAGCAGGCATGTTTGATAATTGATGGACCTGGGAGAGCAGACCAGCAGATAATAAATGTGAATACACATACTACAAGCAGGCATGTTTGATAATTGATGGACCTGGGAGAGCAGACCAGCAGATTATAAGGGGTTATGAAAAAACAAGGAAACAATGCCAATATTAATCCACTAACTTTGTTTCTGACATGCAGCTTGGTAATAAAAACCTGCTTTACGACAAGGATAACATCAAAGCAAGTGATACATGTAGCTACACATGTAGTGCAACCAAGACCAGGTAGGAGCTGTCCATTGTAATATTTTATAACTATCCTCCTGTTCCCAGATCTTACCTTAATTTCTGCCTCCTTGCTAAATGCATGGACAGGTGTACAGATATACTTGGACAGGTACGTATTGGATGCACATTCAGTATCAAGTTTTTTTTCTCTAAAACAACTTTAATTTTAATGTATGAATTACATTCATGGTGGATTTAGTGAGCTACTAGCACTGGACATTTGTATGCTTGTAATTAATTTCAAGGACTTCAACATTGATCTATGATAAGTTGGCCAATACCATTTTTTGTAAATGATTATAGAATTTTTATTGTAACATATCCTGCAAATACAAATGTTCTTTCCCTCAGTTGGATATATTGTACGTTAAAATAGACGAAATGCAAGTTCCACAAGCTTGGACACACATGGCCTAAAGGGAGTTGGTAGTCAGTTAATTTTCCAGATATTTATGAAAACATTTTATTTAATCAGTTTTATTAGAATTCATCCGAGACAAAAATGAACACCGATCAAGTCAAACCTAAATCATATTTAGTATCCCTATAATTACGCAGGCTTACAGTGAATAACATGCATTTTGCTGATTTAGTAAATTCATGTTGCAATTTATGAGATTTTGAAATTTGTTCTCCCCAGAATATGTGTAAATCCCATGAAACATCTAATGATTATAACGAGGTTTATAACGGTCATAAATTGCCTGGATACTTACGTAAATCTGAAAGTTAGGAGTCGAATAATAAGAATAAACTATGGTAAGTCAGTTAAGATTATTTCATACGATCTGCAGCACTTCAGTGGGAATTATCCTTGATATTTATCTCAGAATAATCAACTTTAAATCCCTCTTTACTGACTAACAAATCTGGGGAAATTAAAAAGGCCGTCAAGGAGGTCGAATACGGACTTCCGGATTCCGCTTGCCTCAGTTTTCGGTACCTGCACGTGAAATACGCCGATAAGGTCCCAACACACCCTGTGTTACACTTACCTTCGTGACTTTTTACAATTAGCGCGTAATTAGCACTGACTGAGGATGCACGAATGCCTGGCGTTATTTCATCCAAAAAGATATAAAAGGTTATCAAACTGGTGAGTGAACTGATTAAAAAAAAAAACTTGAAAAATGCGAATTACATTGTATATTGTAGAAGGTGCGACGGAAGACACAGTTTTCCAGAACATGGATATATAAACCTTATATAGCCTCGTGAGTACGTAACACAGAGTATTAGCCTTACTTGCGGTAAGTACCCGGATGTAAGGCCGAAAGTGAAGAAGCAAAGGTTACGCGCGCGATTCAAAAAGATGTCTGACAGGGGCGGGGTTAATCCGGAGCTGTTAATTTGGATTATTTTGGCAAAATTTATCTATGGACCTTATCTGTTAAAAATTATCAAAAATTATTAGTTTTCATGTTCAGGTAAGTTGTTTATGTACTTTCAAATAAAAAGCGTTGTCCCTCTAGGAAAAAAAAACACCAGAAAAATTGATAAGGATTTTTTATTTAAAAAAAAATCAATTCTTCTTCGTTGTGCCGTCGCTAGACTGTCGTTATTTCGCTTGACTATCTTTTGACTGTCTTGAGTGATCCCTGCTTGGAAGTAGTAAATTGGAGAATCAAAATTATTCAAAATAATTATCTCCTATGGTAATTTGGTCGATTTTAGCA